TAGCTACCACAGAGACATTTTCTAAAATTCATATTTAGACTTTTTAGTTCAAATTATATATTAAGTTTTGTGTGGAGTTTGAACAGACACAGTTAATTCTCTTATTGATAAGTAATACTGCATGGAAATATGGTGGTGGTCCTCCCAGGCACGCTGCTTGTACAGTGTCCCCATCTATTCATAGCTGGTTACAGCAACGCCCACACCCAACAGCTTGTTCCTCTGAGCTGCAACCAGCCAGCTGGTTTCAACTCACCACCTAATTTTTGAGGTTGCTGTTGGGCATGTTTTCCCCTCTGATGCCTACATGTCAAACCCAACGGGTTTACAGCAAAGAGAAAGTGTGTGTGTGTTTAATCACTGCAACAAATAGCCCCTTACCACCTCCACTGAGCCACATTTAGAACTTAAAACAGCAGTCTGCTGCAGCTCGTGTGCCAGCGTGTTTACAAGTCGCTCTGGTGTGGTCTGGTTGTGAAAGATAAGAGAGAGGACAGCCACAGTGAAAAGACCACTCCATTTTCATTAATCCCCTCTGTTGAATTATTAGCACCATGCTTGTGTCCAGTGAAATCTGGGATGTTAAGACTTTGAACCCTGGCATGAAGCAACCAGGGGAAAGAAATCTCAGAGGAAGTGTAACCCCAGAGGAAATATAGCCAGGGATCAGTACCTTGTTATGCTTGCAGTAACCCATGTGACCTCTTGACCTTTCTAACACACCTTTTTTCCCGTGCAGGCCCATCTGCCGTTCGCTGTGGTGGGGAGCTTGGAAGAGGTCAAAGTGGGGAACAAAACCGTGAGGGCCAGACAGTACCCCTGGGGTGTTGTGCAAGGTGAGAAGCATTTACAAGCAAGTTAATCATGTTGTCTGCGTGTGGATGTTTGGGTTTCTCAAGCAAACTCAACAGCGAGGGGTCAGCTGATGTTTAGCTCCTTTCTCCAGGCCGAGACAGAAAGAGGCCACACTGTGATGTTGGTACTCGTGTGGTGTGATCATAAAAACACCAGTCTGAAGGTGGGAGTGTGCTGTTTTTATCATACCACTGATTCATTACCATTAGTCTGAGGAAGTACTGCGACAATTGTGCTATTAATCGATTTGTCAATAAACAGCAAATTAAAAAAATAGTTCACTCTCTTTAGTGCATTGTTTTCTGTTCTTCTTTTATGGTGAGAATGAAAGTGAATATCTGTTAATAAATATGTTAGTAGGTGTTGTTTGTTTTTTCTCCAGTGGAAAAGCTTCTATAGAGACACAGATGCATGGGAATAGGCAAACTGCAACATTTTCATTTTACAGTCCATCATAATAGCAACATTAAATCCTGCCCTTCAGTCTAGAAGAGTGCAGGATGTATTTTACACCAAACGCTGGTTCTGGTGAGGATATGTTGTAGATGTGGAGAAACGACATGCAGTGTAACTCAACAGCTGAACGTTCAAGCCTCTTAATCAGTATCCACAGTGAGAGATGTTTCCTGCTCGTGTCAGAGGGGCGAGTGTGTCCCGCCATTTTCTTGTTTATTTATACCCTCCCTCTCAATGTGCGGTGCCCTGCACAGCTGTGAGTGTGACTTCATGAGGAGTGACACTGTGAGATGAGGGCGAGTGAGTGGGGATTGTTTTGTTTTTTTGTGTGTGTGTGTGTGTGATGCCCATGGTGATGCATATCTTCTTTGCGTGCATGTACCAAATGTTGCCTTGCCCTCGAATGTCTGCGTGTGCACGTTGCCCCTGGAGACGTCACCTTTTGTGTCAGGGACCTTTGTTTCCCATGGCTCATTCCTCTGTGTTTGTCATTGTGGGTAAACAGCTTAATTTAATAGCATCAGTCAGAGTTGTGCCGTGAGAATATTACTGCTCAGATGGGAGTTATTCTCTCTCATTCCCTCAGACCATCGCTCCCTCCGTTCCTCTCTTCTGTTTACTGCCCTCACACTCTTCCTTTTCTCTCTCTCCATTACCCACTGACAACGCTCATTCTTCATCCCTCAGAAGACACTCCATGGTTATTTATAAATCCTGCTGCATGTCCCCTTGGGGACAGATTCCTCTGGCTCCATCAGTCACAATGAGGCAAAAGTCCAGTCCAGTTTCTGCTGAATGTTTTACTTAAACCTGATGTTTAAAACTTAGAGATCAGATTTCTGACATTCAGTCACTGAGGCTGTGTGATGATGCTGTTTAGTGTTCTTCTGCATCTTAAGATTTGAATGTGATATCTTGAGGAGTTTTGTTAATGTCTCCATCTTATCATCCTATCACCGTCACACATCTCTGTCTGACAGCAGAAATGAGAAATGGGATGTCACACTCGGACACTGTTTTGCTTTCTTGCTAATAGTCGGGCAGACTTGCAAACTGATGGTTCACCATACACACACCGCAGTTTGTCATGAGGGCAGGGGCCGAGGAAGACAGTAGTGTTTGTGTTTTACGATACTCGGTCCACTGAAAGGAGGGTCTGTATCCGTACAAACAGCTTGTAGATGCCAGATGACATGGAGATGGGTTATGGTAACCTCTTAAAGAGCCATGGGAAATTTCCACCGATGTGAGAGAAGACAGTGGAAAGACTGTGTGTGTGTGTGTGTGTGTGTGTGTGTGTGTGTGTGT